GCAGAGTGGCATGATCCTTGCTGAGGTAATACATGCCCGCATTGGCCGATTGGCTCCTAATGGGGAGGGAAGGGAGGACACTGAATGGTGAAAGAGAAAGCAGAACTGGCTTCTCTCTTGAGGTTACCAATGTGTGAATCACTGTGGCCAGGCTATCCCTGTCCATCCATGGCCATTGACACACATATATCCACGCAGAAACACGTCAAAGGCAGATTTATGGAACCAGCTGGGAGGAATAAAAAGCATGTCTTCACATTTTTGGATGTGACACCAAAGTCCTTTTCCGGCATCTCTTCTGGAATGTGTCCCTGTCATCGTGGAAGCATGAAAAATGAACAAAACAAAACATGATCTCACACAAGCAGTGATGTTGAAGTTTAAGACGTTGGCGTCCAAAACAAGTTATGGAGCCATGGACAGTCTCCTTACTGCTCCAACAAGCACTCTGCTTCCCCATGTGCTGTTTATTGCTAAACTCTTTTATGGAAGGGCCATAGCTCAGTGGCAGAACATCTGCTTTGCATACCAAAGGTCTCAGGTTTGATCCCTGGCATTTCCAGCTAGGGCTGCACATGTCCCCTGCTGGAAAACTTGGAGAGGTGCTAGATAGACCATTGGCCTGACTCCGTATGAAGCAGCTTCCCATGTTCCTATGGAAGCAAACATGTACATGTACCACCAGTTGTTCCACCATTTGGGGGCCCATTTGGGCAAATGGCTTGGGGGCTGGATGGATAGATAGCTGTAGATAAATAAACGACTTCCATCTGGGTGGTAACTGTGGGCCACACAACATACTGCAGAAGTTGTTAGACCTGTGATCTGACCCAGCAAGACAGTTCCTTATACAGTGGTACCTTGGGTTAAGAACTTAATTCATTCTGGAGGTCCGTTCTTAACCTTAAACTGTTCTTAACCTGAGACAGACTCTGGGTTAGCGGAGTCTGTAACCTGAAGCGTCTGTAACCCGAGGTACCACTGTATTCTCAAAAATCTTTGACACTACCCCACCGTCAGGCGGCTGGCCGGTTGCCAGGAACGTACAAAGACAAGGGAAAGTTCTTACCATCCACTTTTTATTCAATATTTACTGAGAGCAGTTTGAAACCCAGCCTCTTGGACAGGCATAGGCAAACTCGGCCCTCCAAATGTTTTGGGACTCAAACTCCCATCATCCCTAGCTAACAAGACCAGTGGTCAGGGATGATGGGAACTGTAGTCTCAAAACATCTGGAGGGCCGAGTTTGCCTATGCCTGCTCTTGGATAATGATGTTGTCCCAAGTGAATCTCCACCCCCATTCATTCCTCATTTGTCATCAGCATCAGCCCCTCTAAAGGTTAGTGCTTAGTGCCATCTATCTTCGAGCTCTTTGCTCTCCTACTTTTAAGGCTCACCTGGTTCTGGGAGATGGCAGGTCTGGAAGGCTTTCTAGTGATAACGTGTCAGCCAGCTGCTGCTCCGGCTCTGCCTGCTCCTCCTCTCCCATGATTTCCCAACTTTTCCCCTCATCTGCCTCTGAGCAGTGACCTCCCGCAAACCACTGTGGTAAATCTATAATGTCTTCCTCTTCCTCATCCCTGGAAGGGTCAGGATGGGGAGGCATTCTCCACCATTCCTCCTCTGCCCAGTCCCTGACATATACAGAGTTGTTCTAGGCACAAGAGCATCCTGGCACAAGGCCGCACCATCTCTTCCCATCCTCCCACTGGCATCAATGCTTCCTTTGGCCTAGGGGGTTTCTTTGAAGCTGCCTCCATTTACACCAGATATCCCTGGGTAACAGCCATAGCAGACCCTCCAAGGGTCCCTATTTTCCAGAGACAGTCCCAGATTCACAGAAGCCGTCCCGGTTTCTCATTTGATCTTGGACCATATTGCTTGTTATTACAGTGGTACCTCGGGTTAAGAACTTAATTCATTCCGGAGGTCCGTTCTTAACCTGAAACTGGTCTTAACCTGAAGCACCACTTTAGCTAATGGGGCCTCCCACTACTGCTGCCGCGCCGCCGCCGCCACGTGATTTCTGTTCTCATCCTGAAGCAAAGTTCTTAATCCAAGGTACTATTTCTGGGTTAGCGGAGTCTGTAACCTGAAGCGTATGTAACCTGAAGCATATGTAACCCGAGGTACCACTGTATTAAGTGCTGTTTTTCTAGAAAAAGAGGTGCTGGAACTCATCATAAATACCCCCCTTGTTCTCTTATAATGGCAATGGTGCCTACCTGAGATGTGCCGGAACTGAGTCCCAGCTAGCTCCAGCTGGGGGGAAAAAAGCCCTGATTATTATTGTGGAATAAAGTAAAGGTAAAGGGACCCCTGACCATTAGCTCCAGTCGTGGCCGACTCTGGGGTTGCGGCGCTCATCTCACTTTATTGGCCGTGGGAGCCGCCGAACATCTTCCGGGTCATGTGGCCAGCATCACTAAGCCGCTTCTGGCGAACCAGAGCAGCACACGGAAACGCCATTTACCTTCCTATTTATCTACTTGCACGTTGATGTGCTTTCAAACTGCTAGGTTGGCAGGAGCAGGGACCGAGCAACGGGAGCTCACCCCGTCGCGGGGATTCGAACCGCCGACCTTCTGATCAGCAAGTCCTAGGCTCTGTGGTTTAACCCACAGCGCCACCCGCGTCCCCTATTATTGTGGAATAGGATGTCCTTATTTTCATTGGACGAATGTTGGAGGGTATGCCATAGCTCACTGGCAAATCTTCTGTTTTGCAGGTCCCATGTTCAATCTCCAGGTAAGGCTGGGAATGTCCTCGCACCTGAAACCCTAGAGATCGACTGCCATTCAGTATCCATGATACTGAGCTATGATCTGACTCAGTATAAGGTGGCTTCTTACCTTTGCCTGCCTGATTTTCCTTCCTGCTTTGTTCTACCAGCCTTTCTCAACCTTGGGTCCCCAGATGTTTTGGGCCTACAACTCCCATCATCCCTGACCACTGGTCCTGTGAGCTAGGGATCATGGGAGTTGTAGGCCAAAAACACCTAGGGACCGACCCAAGGTTGAGAAAGGCTGTAACCCTGCAGCGAAGCATATGGCTCATCTCCCCAGATGCCAGTGGGGTGACCAGGCATCTCAGCCAATCCAAAAGAGTCCAACCATCACACCACCTGCCTGCCCCTCTCTGGAGACCTGGGCCCTGCACTGGTAGTGAGGATCGTTAAGCTGAAAATTGTTCAGGTTCAGCGATCTCTGCCCTACCCCAGAGCCCCCAAGGATCTGCCACCTGATAATAAGATTAGCCCCCCTTTTGGAAGCCTCCTATGGGGGGAGGGGATGCCAGTGTGGTGATGCTATGAAGCGGTCTCTGTGGAGTACAATGTTGAAGGCTAAAACTGGAGTCCTAAACACTGTTGTTTTTTTCCTTTAAAAAATGTTTAGGGGTACTCTCATTTTCCTACTCATATTGAAATACTGCCCCTCAAGGAGGCCAAACTTAGATTCACAAAATGTTTAGGGGTATGCGTACCCCTGCGTCTCCCCTGAAAAAAAGCACTGTCTAAACACAAAGATTAAGGTGTAGGGGATGTGTGTAACTGTCAATTTCGGCTTTTCTCCAATTCTCGTTTTTCCATTCTTAAATCCAGTCCTCCACATTTTCATCTTAGTCCTTTTTCATCTTAGTTGCAAATTGGTATTACTCTACAAAGTTTTTGCAGACACATTTTTTGCAAAGCCGTTTCTGCCAATGTACTGCATTTTTTGTATGTCGCTTTTCACAAGTGTATGCATTTTTATGCACACTCTAGGAATGCATTACAGGGGTGGAGAACTGCATTACAAAATTCGGAGAAGTGCCAGTTTTCAAAGGATGGCTATGTTTTAGTTTGTGCATTGTTTTTAAAAAATGCAAATCAGGGAGGTTTGTATTTGAACATGAAGGTAACTGGATTTCTCCCTCGTCCCTTCTAGGGAGTCAGCTCCATCAGCAAGAAAGGAGTAAACATGCAATGTCCTATGCACATTTAATGGAGACTAACCAGGGTTGTGGAGGACACTTGGGAAAGATGCTTTCAGTGGCACCCCTCCTTGAGTGTGCCCACCAGCTCCTGCTGCCCCTCACCACTGTTGCTGCTGCTGCTGTGTCACCTGGGCTCAACCTGCATCATCCCCCTTTGCAGTGGTGAGGAATTTTTGGTTCGTGGGTGTAATTTAGCCTACCAGACCTCCTAATCTGGGCTGCAAGGTTACTTCAGTCAGCCACACTCAGCTGCCCTACGTCTCATGCCATATAGGTGTAGATCAGGTAAAGATGCATCTAGGCCACAAGGGGGTTTTCAGGGACCACTAATCAGCTGGTCTCCAGCACCAGCAAAGGGCTTTGCGAACCCTCAAAACCAGGCGGTGGTTGGGGCTTGCAAAGCACAGCAGTGTGCAAGCCAAAACAGGTTACTTGACATGTGGTGAGTAACAGCTGAGGAGCCCCAGCCACCTGTGCACCTTGACCCATTGTTGGTGGGAGGAGAGATCTGAATTCAGCCGATAAGTGTGGGCAAAACATACAGAAGGCTGTTGTTCTTTCTTCTTGTTCATTTCACTCAAAGACGCAAGGTCAACAGATGCAGCAGCAAGAGATTGTGTGGGGTGGGCATGGGGGGCTTTACTGAGGCATGAGCCTTGGACAGCGCCCTGCAATGCCAACTTCTGATGCCAACCTGGGGAGTAACTACACTGTTTCACATTTCACAGACGAAATGTGCTTGTAACATCCCTGCTCTACTCTCAAAAGCAATTGCCCGACCTGAGGCTCCCTGCATTTGATGACTCTGCAATACACCGTCCCTCAATTATTTAAAGGCTAAGAGAGAGTGTTTCTTCTTTTGGCTAAAGTTTTTTTTTCCCTCCCCCCCAAAATAATTGGCTTACAGTTAGAGTACATTAGCAACAATTCAAAATACACCTTGTGGAAGGCAATGTTGGAAATGTTGCTGCACGGCACCTAAGTGTCTTGGGTCCATAAATTTACTTGTGTACACATTTACAGGGAAGGTTCACAGCTTAGTGGCAGAGCAACTGCTTTGCATGCAGATGGTCCCTGGTTCAACTTCTGGCACCTCCAAATAGGCATATCGGTGACCTCTTTTGCCCTTGTTTTTGATGTTGTATCTTCTGCTTAGGGGTGGCTTCCATGGCCAACCTTATTATGACCAGGTGGACCAGCTGGAGTTTAGTAAGTCTCATTAAACTCATTGTAGACCTTTTTCCAAGTAAGAATGTGCAGTGAGTAAACAGCTCGACCAAGCCAAGTTGGCGGGATGGAGGACATCAAACCCCTTCCTCTCTTCACTGGTATGGTTCCAGGTTAGGGGCAAAGCCCTATATTGATGTCTCCAGTCTCTGACCTTTAGCATCTTACCCCAAACCGCCAGTACACTCAGCCATAAAACCAGCTTGCCAGACCCAGCTCCGTAGGCTAAGGATACCCAACAAGTTGGAGTGTTGGCCTGAGTTCTGTCAGCTGACCTTGCATCCCTATGGAGAAGCACTAGGCCCTATGCCACATTTGGGAACTTCAAGCTACAAGACTGAATGTAGACCTTCAGGCACATCTGCCTGGCCCTCTGAACTTTCTCCAGGCCACTTTTCTCACTAGCCACACCTCATTTGGATGTTTTTGCCTAGCTGGGATGTGTCCTTGAGCTCTGATAAAGCCTCTTATTGTCAGGAATACATGCAGGAGCCAGGCCCTGTGACCGGTAGGGCTTCGCAGGACTGGGGCTTTCCTAAGTTTGTTCTGTAGAGGCAAGGCACAGCCTCACAGGTGAGGCCAATTGCTAACTCACAGCACCTGGTGGCAAGAGCCGGGAAGGGATATAAGGTCAGCATTTCCCTTTGGTTCTTTGCCACAGCAACACGCTTCCTGCGTTTGGCTTCTTGACTCCTTGCTTCCTGATCCTTGGACCCTTGGCTCCTGGTTTCTCTGACCCTTGGACCTTTGGCTTCCTGACTCCCGTTCCTGCTCCCACCCCGCCATCTTGCTCCCGGTCCCGATGTCCTCAGCCAGGACTTTGACCGCCCGTAAACCAGACTGACACTTATTTCCCTCCTAGAGGACACAGTTGGGTGTGTGAGCGGGTGCAGAAACTAGTCCACTGTCCTAAGGTATTTTTATTTATTTCTATTATTTCTGTTCGATTTATAAACCGCCGTTTGTCAAAGATCTCAGGGTGGTTCACAGAATAAAATACAGGATAAACACAAGTAAATAAGTGAAACAAAACAGCAAAATAATAACCTCCCCTTCCCAAAGACACATTTAAAAGGCTGTAGAATATTAATCAACCCAAGGCCTGGTTGAAGAGGAAATTTTTCACCTGGTACCTAAAAATATATAATGAAGGCACCAGGAGAACCTTTCTGGGGAGAGCATTCCACAAATGGGGAGCTACTACAGAGAAGGCCCGTTCTCGTGTTGTCACCCTCCAGACCTCACATGGAGGAGGCATATGAAGAAGGGCCTCAGAGTCTGGGGTGGTTTTTATGGGGAGAGGCAGTCCTTCAGATATGGCAGTCCTGAGCCATTTAAACTTTACTATCATTGCTCTGCCCATTTTGCCTCTGGCCCTACCCACCACAGACATGTGGCCCTCAGAAGATTGCCCAGAAGGGAATGCGGCCCTTGGCTGAACAAGATTCCCCACCAAGCCCTATATAACACTTTCACACACGCTGGTCTGACTTTCCCATTGGCTGACAACACAGACTCTCTCTCTCTTCATGCTTCCCCCCAGCTCTGCCTGGAATCATCTCACTTCATCTCATCTATCTAATCTGCTGCCAATGTCCAGCTGGTCAATGGCAACATCTCCCACCTCCAGCCCTTGATTCCTGTTTGCCAGACCTCCAACTCATTCACAACCTCATCTCCTACCTCTGATGTCTGCGCCGGTTGCCCCGCATCCAGAATCCAGAACCTAGGACAGCCCCAAGCCTGGCAGCACCTTGAAACATCCAGACAAAACAAGCCCATAAAAATTAAGGCTGACGGCCAATTAAATTTTGTTCAGTTAATGAATCATCATCTCCCTTTCAAGCATTTAAGCTTAAATGTGAAATCAATTTGCTTATTACTAAAACCTCGATCCAGGTGTCTTTTTAGAGGCGTTGAATGGCATGTAAGTTAAAAGACAAAGGTCGCCTCCAGATTGTCAGTGTTTTGCAGGAGGGATTCAATCATGTAAATTTAGGTTTCTGCAGTTAAAATGTTCTGGCGCTATTGTTGTTGTTGTTTTCTAAAAACACATGCTAGACTTTCTGTGATCAGCTTAGTTGGTTAGAGCATGTTGCTGATAACGCCACAGGTGCAGGTTTGATCCCCGTATGGGACAGCTGCATATTCCTGCATTGGACTAGATGATCCTCAGGGTCCCTTCCATCACAACAATTCTATGATCTTTGATTAGGTAAAACATAAAAGGTAAAGGACCCATGGACAGTTCAGTCAAAGGTGACTATGGGGTTGCAGTGCTCATCTTGCTTTTCAGACCAAGGGAGCCGGCATTTGTCCACAGCTTTCTGGGTCATGTGGCCAGCATGACTAAACCGCTTCTGGCGCAACAGGACACCGTGATGGAAATCAGAGTGCACAGAAATGCCGTTTACCTTCCCGTTGCAGCGTTACCGATTTATCTACTTACACTGGTGTGCTTTCGACTTATTAGGTTGGCAGGAGCTGGGACAGAGCAATGGGAGCTCATCCCGTTGCAGGGATTCGAACCACCGACCTTCCAATCAGCAAGCCCAAGAGGCTCAGTGGTTTAGACCACAGTGCCACCCACATCCAGACATATTTCTCTGCCTCTCATGATGCTAGGACCACCTACTGAAGCTGAATGTTGGTCGATTCAGGACAGGCAAAAGAAAGCACTTCTTCACATGCAGCAGCAGCACATAGTGGAGAAGGGGATTTGCTCCCACATCACGTAGCAACGGCCACCGACTCAAACTGCTTTGAAAGAAGATTGGCAAAGTGGTGAAGATAAGGCTTCCTGGGGTTACTAGCCATGATGGCTATGCTCTGCCCCCCACCCACATTGGAGGCACTGTGCCTCTGAATACTAATTGCCAGGATCCAATCGCAGGTGGGGAGAGCGCTGTTGTACTCTGGTGCTGCTAAAGGGCTTCCCAGAAGCCTGTCCACTGTGAGCACAGGATGCTGAACTAGACATTGGCCTGATCCCACTGGGCTCTTCTTATCTTCGGAGGAGGGGGAGAATGGAAAGGAGACGTTGCCCAGAGAGGTGAAAAGAGCATTTACTCAGCTGAGCAGGTTAGAACAGTGTGCCACTTCATCCAGCAAATTATCTTGCTTTTGCCACGTTCTCTTATTGAAGCCGGACTAGCAGAGCCTCAGGTCTGCTTGCTGACCAGAATTTGAATGGAGCTCATTGAGGGTTTTCGTGGAAAATAGCCTAAGAACGCAAGAATCGCCTTGCTTGATCAGGCCAAGATACAGCTTGCGCTGGAGATGTTCCCAGAGCTCTGTCTATTCCTTGCTCTCCTGCTGTCAGCTCCAAGCAGAACGGCCGCTAACTTCATGCTTGGGCACGCCAGTGTGGTGTAGTGGTTAAGAGCAGTAGTCTCGTAATCTGGTGAACCGGGTTCACGTCTCCGCTCCTCCACATGCAGCTGCTGGGTGACCTTGGGCTAGTCACACTTCTCTGAAGTCTCTCAGCCCCACTCACCTCACAGAGTGTTTGTTGTGGGGGAGGAAGGGAAAGGAGAATGTTAGCCGCTTTGAGACTCCTTAGGGTAGTGATAAAGCGGGATATCAAACCCAAACTCTTCTTATTCTTCTTCTTCATAGGTGGGCACAGCCTAGCTATCCATGTGGAGAAGCAACAGAGCAGGAGTGGGGGAGCACCCCCCCTACATTCCCACCTGGGCAAACTTCTGAGGGGTGCATGCCAGGGTTGCTCAGGGCCAGAGGCAAGAGTCAGCAGGGCAATGGATGCAGTGACATAGCATGGGAAGCCCACAGGAACAGTTGCCCTGGGCTCAATATTGTTAGGGCCACAAAAATTCAACACCTTGTGCTGCCTCAATACAGCTGCGTGTTTCTGTCGCTGGACTCCTTTGAAAATGGCTTCTCCAAGACACAAGAATTGCCTACCCGAGAAGAATGGCAGAGAAAAGTGATAGACTATATGGAACTGGCAGAGATGACTGGAAGAATTCGAGATCAAGAAGAAGGGTTGATGGAACAAGACTGGAAAAAGTTTAAAATATATTTACAGAATCACTGTAACATAAAAGAATGTTAGGAAAGGTTGGAGAAGAAATATTAGACCGTATTGGCAGACAGAGTATAATGGAATTAAGTAAATATAAAGTGTAAACTAAAGGATAGAGGAGAATTAAATATTTTTGAATGTTAAAATGTTAAAATAAGTGAATGAAAAGAAGGTTAGAAGGATTTGCTGGAGATACAATTTGAATTAGAATACAAAGCAGAGAAGTGAGAGGAAGTCACGGAAATAAGTAAATGGGAAAACGGTTTGTTAAATTTGAATTCTTTTTTTTCTTGTTATTTTTTATTGTGATTTTTGATTTTGTGTATTTTTTTCCTTTTTCCTTTTTTTTCCTTGTATGGTGTGTATCTTTTGTAAGATGTATGTGACTGATTTTCTTGTTTTGTTTGTTCTTTCTTTTTTGTAATTTTAAAACTTGAATAAATATTCTTAAAAAAAAAAAAAAATGAAAATGGCTTCTCCATGAGAACCAGGAAATGACCTCTCCAGACAATGAAATGACTCTTCTTTTCTTATCTCTGCAGCTACAATCTTCTAGGACTGGATGATGTAGATGCCATTAGGCAGTTGAATGCGCATGTGTACTCAGTCTGTTTTGCTCCCTCCCAACCCTGCCTCCTTGCAGCCCCAGCACTGGCAACATAAGCTATACCACTGAATGGATGCGGCTCTTACTTCCTTGCAGTAAGCTACATTACAGCCGCATAAAAGTCAGAGGTCTCTACATCTGCATCTCTCCATCTCCCATCCAGGGAAGCAAGAAGCATTATGACAATTCAATGACACATTCCAGCCAGGCAAAAGCACTCAATGAGGGTGCTGAGCTGTGTCCGTTCAAGAATTCTGATGGAAATGGGAATAGAAATTGCCAGCATTTGCTTATTTGTCCCATGTCCGGAACGGAAATTACTCCAGTGAATGCGATGGATATTCACTGTTGTGGCTTTTATTTCACAAAGAACACACAGTTTGCCTTGTGCTTCCATTGCATTGAACTGAATGGGGTGGAGTAACATAATGACAATATAATCATGTTGATGGTCAAAGTTACATGATTTCGCCACAGTGGACAGCAAGACGAATAATGCAGTTTGGGGCAGAAGATGAGCTGCAGCAGAACGGAAACATGTGTCTAGTAGAGGGCAGAATGGGAAATGATGCCTTTCTACAGCCCTGCTAGCTGCCCAACAGGCAGAAATATAAAGTTCCAGCCACCAGGCATCTCCAGTTGTTCTTATGTGTTTAACTGGTAAGTATCTTGTTGAGGAAAAGCGATTCTTTGCTTCTCATTCTTCCTAGTTCTGCCAAAAGATTTCATGTCTATTTGGTGTAGTTGGGGAGAATGTTAAAGGGGCTGTTGCCTCAGGTGAAAAATGGGGGGGGGTTTCAAAATTTCAAAAGAAAAATAAACTGCTTTGAGCAGGCATAGGCAAACTCGGCCCTCCAGATGTTTCGGGACTATAACTCTCATCCCTAGCTAACGGGACCAGTAGTCAGGGATGATGGGAATTGTAGTCCCAAAACATCTGAAGGGTTGAGTTTGCCTATGCCTGGCTTTGAGGCTTTTAAAAAAAAAAAAAACCAAGCGGTGAAATAATTAATAATTATAAAATAACTAGCCACTGCCACTGTTGCCTCCTCAGCTTCCCTCTCCCTCCTGAGAAGACCCTTCCCCACCACCATCACCCAGCCTTGCCAGGAAACACAAGATAGGGGACACAATATTTGCCTTGGCCCGGGGTACTGGCAACCTACGCTATACCACTGGCATTACCTGCAAGCAAAAGTTCAATTTCTCACTAGCATCACCCTGATCCCAACTCTGAAGGAATCTCCGGTTTCCACGCTGAGCCTTGGTCTGCTTTGACAGTTCCAGATTAATATTCATAAGGAAAACACAAACTTGCGGAATCGCAAGTCAGCGTCTTCCACAGGCTCAGACCTACTGGCCTCACCTGACCCCATCTGGAAGATCATTTCAAATCCCATTAGTGCCACAGGAACAGTCCTTACGCATGAGGGATCTCATTCACATGGGTCAGACTGCACGGCCTCCACCTCCCCGTGACCTGTGGCTATAGACTTGCGGTCAAGGGAGTGCACAAACACAGGCATCTCAGTGTGAATTCCATTCAAGATAAACTTGCCTATGAAAAGCAGGGCTGCCCACTAGTCTGGCGCTGTTGCGTTTCAAAGGAGGCTGCCATTCCGTTGCAATAACCATAATGAAGTTAAAGCACAGCTATATATGGCAGATGAGATTGTTTCATTAAGCTGCCTTGTGCCATTGGTTCCTCTAGCTCAGTATCATCTACTCTCTGGCAGCAGCCCTCAGTCTCTCCCAGGTCTACCTGGAAATGCCACAGACAGAAGCTGGGACCTTCTATATATGCCAAGCAGATGCTCTACTACCACAGAGCAATGGACCTTGCCCCAAACAGGCTGATCTTACAGTCATTTCAGGCACAAATCCATTCCTGATTCTCCCCTACTCCCCTCCCCCCCCAAAAAATCCATTCTTTGTTTCAGCACCATAATTTAGTAAAAATGAAGCCTTTTCAGCTGTTGCTTTAGTCAAACTCTTGCAAGTCAGAAAGCACCCATCTGTACTATACATTTGAAGCAATATTATACCACTATAAACAGTCACAGCTTCCTCCAAAGACTCCTGGGAACTATAGTTAGTTAAGGGCGCTGAGAGTTGCTAGGAGACCCCCCTATTCCCCTCACAGAGCGACAATTCTCTTCCTAGGGAACACTGGGAACTGTAGCTCTGGGAAGGAAATAGGGGGCATAATAATAATAATAATAATAATAATAATAATTGTTTTAAAAAGGGACACAGGTGGCACTGTGGTCTAAACCACAGAGCCTCTTGGGCTTGCCAATCAGAAGGTCGGTGGTTTGAATCCCCATGACGGGGTGAGCTCCCGTTGCTGGGTCCCTGCTCCTGCCAACCTAGCAGTTTGAAAGCATGCCAAAAAGTGCAAGTAGATTAATAGGTACCACTCCGGTGGGAAGGTAAACGGCACTTCCGTGCACTGCTCTGGTTTCACCAGAAGCGGCTTAGTCATGCT